CCCACACCCCACACCCACACCTCACCCACACCCACACCCACGCACACCTCCACACACCATATCCACACCCACACCCACACACCCACACCCACACCCACACCCACCCCACACAGACGCCCACACCTACACCCACACCCACACCCAGCCATTGAATTCGTTCAAAATTGAATATTTTTCAATCTATTTACTTCTCGTCCATAGGCCAAACGATTAAATGAACTTTTGCTCAAATGTGTATTCGATGAACAATTGGAAGTGCGAACAATTGCATCAATGACTTTATCAGGTTTCTATCAATGTGGTTATATTGAATTAACTGCTAAAGATCTCGTAAGATGAATAGCTTCCTTTCGTTGACAATTGTTTGTTTTTTTTTTCAATGTGTTTCTTGTTTCAGAACTATTTTGATGTTATGAGCAAGACCAGTTATTTTACAAAAACTAATGACAAGAAAGTCATATCGGGAGAGAATACTATTAAACGACATGGTGGTTAGTATGTTTTATTGATAAAATCCAATCTATTTTTCACAAGCTCTAGGTACGCCTGATTCTTAATTATGATTATAGGTATTTTGGGTCTCTGTGCAATCGTTCTTTCGAGTCCATATGATATTTCAATGTATGTACCAGATGCACTGGTACTTCTTTGTGAACATTTACACGATACTGATCTCATACAAGTATATAACATTAAACTTATTATATGCCAGCATGCGTAATATATATTTCACTTTTAGACGTCAATAAAGAAATGTTTGTCTGAATTCAATCGTACGCATCATAATTTATTGCATGAACATCGAGAAAAGTTCACCGAAGATCAACTTGTTATTTTGACCGATGCATTCGTTTCTCATAGTTATTATGCTTGATGATAAAATAATATTTTTATAGACTCATAAACGTTTTATATTGCTCTTTCCTCTAATAGCGTTTTTTACGAGATCCATGGATTTCGATTGCGTGAGTGTAATTAAGTATAGTCGATGGATTCATAATCAAGATCAAACGAGCGAAGACGATAACGATTGACTATTTTTACTTAGACTCTCAAAACGTACATTTACACATTCAAATTGAATCCAAACGCAGTTTTATTTTCTGAATGAATCTAATGAATAATTCGGTTAGATAATTTTCAAACACTAATCAACTCCTCTGAAAAAAACGGCCTCTTAAATAGTTTTTAGATGATAGCTGAATTTTGTGATTTATTATTAGATAGGTTGATAATAATTAGCGATGGAGTGTGGGTGTGCATGTGGGTAAACGAATAAAAACCGACAGCCACACTCCATCCACAACCTCAAAACAGTGGAAGTCCTTGTTTTGGCAGTGAATAACTTCGCATATTGAATAAGAGTCACCGAAACTCGATGCATTCGTACTTATTTCGGAATACGTATAATGACCTCCAATGAAAATTTTCTTTCCAGCCACATCTGGTCTATTCTGATCTATGTTTAACAATAATAAGTACTACTTTTCTAATGTTCCATTTGTATCATTCGGATCTGACAAGTTCGATACGAAGAAAATAATAAATATATCGCTCCTCTGAAACACCTCGTCTAAGTGACGGTGGTAAAGAATCTATTTATGATTTCCATACAATTGAAGAAAAGTATTCTGGTTACTAATAGAATCTACATTGAATTTTTATTTGAAAAACGTTTCTTCACAAGATGTCGACTCATTCTTCTTTTTTATTACTGTGTATTCTCTTGAATTTTAATGCTTGATAATCGAAATTGGCAAATTCGATTTTATCTGACACGAACTTACCAGTCCAAAACAATGACTGATTGGTCTTTTCGAATTGGGGTGTGGGTGCGGAGTGTGGGTGTGGCTGTGGCGGTGGGTGTGGGTGTGAGTACCCTCTTGTCTATCAACATCCACACCCACACCCTCGCCCACACCCACACCCACCCACACCCCACACCTCACCCACACCCCACCCACACCCCACCCACACCCACCCACACCTCCACACACCCACACCTCCACACACCCACACCCACACCCACACCCACACATCCCACCCACATCCACACACCCGACCCACACCCACACCCACATCCCACATCCCACATCCCACACTCACACCCACACACAGACCTACACCCACACTCTGATCCTAATAAATTTATCAGTAAATTAATGGTGTATTCATTAGAAGTTTCTTTTGAACTATAAGACTGGTTTTAAAGATGGGTTTTTAGAAAAAAAAGCGTGTTTTTAAATAACATTTTATTAAGCGTCGGCCCGGACCGAACTGGTCTAATAATTTGACGGTTCGGGCCGGCGGGCCTAGTAATTTGATGGCCCGGGCCGGGTGGGCTTGAATTAGTTTTGGACCGGTTTGGGCCGGTCCGTACCATGAAAAAGTGACCCGTTTCGAGCCCTGCTTGCTAACATCTCGTCGACTTCATCTCTTGACAAATCTATTGTCTCTGCTAGTTTCATTAAGTTATCTTCTAAATTTGTGTGAAAATTCGTTTGAATATCAGCCATTGTTATGATATTTCCTGAGTTCACTTGATCTTCGACAAATAATACTTCAAGACTTCCTGCTGCTGCCTGAAATAAGAATATTATTAAACCTCAGTATCATAACGTTAATCTAAGAGAAGTGTAAATTAGATCTATTCTATCAATGAAGAAATGAGACCTCAGTTGTCAATCTTATAGAGGAAGGTTTTTTTAAAGATAATATAGAACTTTTAGTTTCTTTACATCATGATTATCATTTTAAATTTTCATTCAGTGTCCAAATCTGACCATTAAGAAGAACATGAATGATTTATTTCAAAATTTGAAAAAGACAACTCAGTATCATATTCTTAAAATAATCTGTTTTTTTTTGTATTCATGTGCCTTGATATGGCATTATTTCGATTAGTTTTGTTTAATACTACTCTTATTCAATGATTTTCAATTTAAAAAGAAACATACATGAGGCCAATCTTCTAGTTGTACATCAGCTCTACATGCTTTTTGCACATTCTCAATTGTTCTGTTGTAATGTAATGATCGTTCGCATGGTTCAGGTGCCATACTTTTAAGATAATTACCAATATAAATATTACAAATAAGTATAATCACATCAATAGAATAAGAAGATCTTTTATAATCTATTAGGAGATTTCGTTTAGGTTGTGAATTACATGTCGAACCTGTACAAAGACCATAAGAGTTATTAATATTTGATTGTGTCTGCCAGATATTAACATTAAAATGAAGAGGTTCTCCATGTTTCTAATAAAAAAAAAATATAAACTATTATATTTACAGTTATTTTCTCTATATAAAAGTATTTCAGATGTTTTTTAGATCACAATTCTATGACAAGATTTAACTCTCCAATCTTCAAATACTTTCTTTATTTCAAATAATCTTGTATTGGATAATGAAGAAAATCTAATTGTTTTGAAAAATAATCAAAACCTTATATCAAATCATTTTGTTCAAACTTGATTACATGTCTATGAATCTCTTGTTTAGATTTCTGCAAGATGTATCATAATTCTTACTTTAGACTATACTAGAAATTTCATTGAATCTTAGAGATCTTGAGTAATAATTTAGTAGAATACTGAATCATATTCTACGTATGTTGTCTATTGGAAATTGCTTAGTTATATTTCTTCAATAATAATTAGTTTATGTCATATCAACAACAATATATTCCTGCATCTATGTCTATAGTGTTTCACTTGTATACTTAGTATCCTTTTCGTGGTTTTTTAAACAGGCTTTGCTTCAGTCATATAACATACTTATTTCTGTGGTTGACTCTCTGTGTCGAATCAATAAACGTTTTTTTGGGTTGAGATATTTTTGTGCATGTCTTTCTCTAATATATTTTTCGGTATGTTCCTTCATAGTATTTTCTCTTTTTTTCATATATTAAAAAGTTTCCAGAATTAGAAAAAATTCCAATAGCATTTTGAAGTTCCTAACTTTCGCTATTAATCTTTGCGCTAGCTTCACTTTTATCAATATCTATGTATCTACACTCGTACAACGCAGCTTCAATTACATATTTTTACATTTGCACAAGTATAATTGGCTTTTGACTCTAACTGTATATAACTATATAATCATTGTATCTTATTCTTTCAAGTCAATAACTTTCTACTATTTGCATCGATCTTGCAAAGCTGTATTTTTAAGTTTAGAAATCTACATTTTCCTCAGTCGTCTTTGACAAAAATATCCGAGATCCAGACGAAGAGTTACAACAGCCATGCATTTATCCCATCAGTCATTTCGTTCAACAGTTGAAAATAGTTTGCTAGAGTATAGAAAGTATAATAATTTGATAATCAACTTGAATTTCTCTGAGTCATCAGTTGAAAAGATCCCTATGACCTAATAACACTTCGAAAGATATATATTCATTAGAACGTTCGGTTAATGATGTCGATGCATAAATAAATCAGTCATTTATCTAGCTCTTAGCAGTGAATTCTGAATTTGATAAACAAGGAACAGATTGTCAAATAGAGAAAAGGGACAATAGTTTCTACCATAGTGCTCATTACATACTAAAAGTGGTTTTTGACTTATACCCTTCTAATTCTTAGTAAAAAAAAATCTACAGAGTATTCCAAAAGTTCGGTGTGAAAGTAAATTTGTATAACTTCTTTTTTTTTGTCAAAACTAATCAACTAATTTTATTTCATATAGTAGTCATGAACGCGAAGTTCTTTCTGACATGGATCAACTTTACAAATAATGTTGCAGGATATCACTTTTG